TGGTTCGTTTGAAGCAGAGACTGACACGCTTTTGATCGAGTGCCCCAACATTGATATGGACTGTCTTCGATTGAGCTTAGACTTTTCGCTGCGCCCGGCCCAGGGATCATCTGAGGCCATCCGGCCGGAACGTGTTCCCTGGCCTGCGGGCGTGGGGCGCTTGTCGCGGTTTGGACATCCAACATCGGGTCTTTGAGCCGTGGTAGGCGATTGATTTCGTGCTTGCATCTCGAGGTCTGGTCCCGACATTATGGAATGGGACCTGGAGTCAGACGAGGCGAACTATGGGGCCCGAGACATGACTTCAATGTATTTCATCTTGTCTTGCAGGGCTTGCACGATGATTGTGATTGCCGTGTGTTGATGTCGTCTCCCTTTCTTTCTGTGCTGTTTCTTCCTATTCTACTTATTGCTATTGCTGGGCGGTGTGTGTCGTTGAATGTTCTGCTGCGACATCACCCGAAGGACCGCGTGCAGAGCCCGCCTCTGATGGAGGAGGATCTTGGCCTTGCAGCAGTTGGGTTCGCTGTAATCCTTAATGCGCTCGACTAGCTGCGCTAGTTGTGATCGCTGTGTTTTGCCGTTGTTCTTCCCTGTTGTATGTGCATGCACATTCTTGCTTTCGCTGTTGCTGAGTGACGGGCTTTGGTAAATGTTTTGCTGCAAACATCGCCTGGAGGAGCACGTGCATTTTCCTCCGCTTACAGTGGAGGCATCTTGGCATTTCATCGGTTGGAGGTACGGTAATCAATAATTTGGCGTTTTGTGACGCGGCAGCAGATACTGTGACTCAATCTGTTCGAACGCGATGCCTGTTCTTTTCTGAGGATCTGGGCAACGCTGAGCTTCCCCCTGCGGAGTCCATTGCTCGTATTTGTTTCCCCCGAAGAGGGGGACGGGGGGCCACATTCACGATCTGGGCCGACGTTCGTGCGATGTATACTGACCTGTTGTTTCTTGGTGTCCTGCCATTTCTTTAGAAAGCATCATGAACTGTTGCGATGTCCTGAGGCTGCAATCTGCGTCGATGCTGTGTCCTTGGGTCGTCGGCGTGTTCCTTGCATCAATCCTGCCACCGTGTGCGGTTGTCAGGAAGTGTGCCCAGAACTACGATGTCTTGAGCAAATTGGAGAGATTGTCGCGGCCCTTTTTCCGGGCTGGCAAAGTTGGCGAGTTAATCTTTGCGCATTTGCGATATCTCGATAGTATGGTGGGAGTATGTGCAGGCCGAAGACCCCTGCGTGCGAAGCTGCACGTCCTTCGCTTTGGTCTCAGTTCGTCAGCGTTGTGAGTCTCGCAGTACAGCTGAACCGTTGGAGTGCAGTTTGATCAGCATTGATTTTTGCCCTATATCTTCGCAACGGTGCAGAGCCATGGCTCGCCTGGGCCGAGGATCGTCCTTCCCGGCTACCCTCGTTCGGAGGCAGCAGCTGCAGACGCTGAGGTGCATCTGAACTGACGCTGTGACGTGGGTTTTGCGAGGCTTCGGAAGACATGACGCTCCATTCGTCTACGGAGGTGGGCCTGCACTCCTACATGTAGGCCTGTCGTGGACCGTATGGCTAGCTGTGTTAAAATTTGGCAGGCTTTCCCGTCGCCGGTTGAGGCACAAGACGCCACCGCTGGACGTTTGGGTGTGCATGTTCTTCTGTTCGCTGCACTTCGAGTCCGGTGCTCCTTTGAGGTGCCAGCAATGGTGTCGGGTCTGGATGCCGAGGCGAACTTCGCTTGCATTGTGTTCTAGCCTGTACGTCTCGGGCTAGAGCCATGAACCAGCGCTGCTCCGGACCGGTGCATGGATGTGCGTGGGTGTGGGTGTGGGCGTGGGCGTGGGCGTGGGCGTGGGTGTGGGCGTGGGCGTGGGCGTNNNNGGGTGGAGAGACGGCATTAGCCAGGACTGGGCATATATGATTGAGCACTATGTGCCTTCGGACGTCGAGGAGGCTCAGCGCACTGTTTATTTCAGGGTGCCTTCGCAGTGGAGCAATCGTTGTTGGTTGCCGTGGAGGAGCCGGCCTTGCACCATCCTGCGCCTCCATCCGTGGAGCCTCGGCAGGAAGGATACCGTCGTGCTCCAGTGGTGACGGTATGCCGGGCTCGGCAACTGTGTGTGGCATACCCAAAGTATCTATGCAAGGTAGCCGTTGCTCCGAACTCGGAATCCATGTGCCTCGACTCAGAGGACACGATGCCGTGTTGTGATCGAATAGAGCTCTTTCGGACAACACAGCCAGTCTATATTTGA